GCGGCATTTGCTTTTTCTCTGCATCCACCACCGTCAGAATATCCCCTTTTGACACGACATTTCATCCTCCCGCCCTGCCATGCCGTGTCACATTCGCCGTCTGTCCGTACATTGACGCTTGAAAGACACAGGTTGGGAGAAACCACAACCCCTTTCTTCCTTTCACCCCCCTCTACCGCGATATCTCACCACCAGCCTGCGACACACTCCTCGACCATCTCCAATACTTTCTTTATCCGCCACCCCATCTCCTGAACCTGAGCCTGAACCACACGCAGTCCAGTTCGCACACCCGCCCAACCTTTTACCGACATACTCCAAATAAAGAAACCGAGAAAAAGCTTCCGCGACAATACGTATTTAGGTTGGATTTTGGGTTTTCGCCTTGGTTTTGAGTACGAGCGTATACCTGATTGGATTAGCATTCTGTGTCACACGTCAGGCGAGTGCGCAGCACGAAGAAGAAGAAGAAGAAGAAGAAACGTTCAGCTACCGCTACCCCCGACCGAATTGAAAGACCCAACCCTTGACCACGACCTCCTTCTCGACTTCGACACTCCCTTTGTTCGCTGCGCCGCGTCTCTGTTCTTTCGACAGCCTGCCGCTCCTCTACGCGCGAGCATACCCCCATACAAAACTTGTCCAGGTCTACCATGAATGGTCGCAATGCGCCTCTCTCACCTGTCTCTCTAGGTGGAAGCGAGTGGTCTGTTGGCAAGTATCCGAACATCAACGACGACCCGTACGCAAAAAACCGCGGCAACATTGTATCACCGCCAAATTCAGGAGGCTCCAACGGGGCCATGAATGGCAATTTCCCACCCGGTCCCCGGAGCGCCGGCGGTCCCTCACCACCGCCTTCTGTCGGCCGGTCCAGCAATGGCACCAATATGTATGCGAGGAGCGAGAGCGGACGGAGTATCCGCGAGGAGCAAGCCGAGGGCATACTGGGCGAGCACTACGTCGCTTTGAAGAACTACCTGAATGGCGGTTCAGGCGGGAAACCAACACCCCCGAATAAGGCACGCGACAAGCTGTTGCGCCTATCGTCTGTCCAATTTCTCGAACTCAGTACCGATGTCTTTGACGAACTATTGCGGAGACAGTCCCTCGGTCGCCGACCTTCGGGTCCTGGCGGTCAAGGGCCACCCCCTTACCTGATGCCCGAATCCAACTTTCACCCCAAACGCAACCAGGCCAGGCAAAAACTGTCATCCCTTGGCCCCCCGCGGTTTCGTGATCTTGCGACTGATGTCTTTTGCGAATTGGAGAGAAGGTTTCCCCGCTTTGCCGCTGGAGACATCCCCAGAGTGGGTAGCCCCGTATCGGTCCGCTCGCAGGCGACCACAGTCAACGGGAATGGCTATCCTCCCAGGAGTCAAAGTCGGATGAGGCGGCCCTCTGACGCGAGTTCTATGAGAGGGGGACCACCACCACCCGACCCCTACGGAGTGCCTCCCTCGCCGGGCATGCCTCCGAATGGCGACTACAACCGGCCGATGCAAAAACAATTCCAAAGCAATACGATCGTGCCGAACAAAAGTACAATGGTAGAAGAGGATGACGATGGCAGTCCGAACGAAGACGAAGAAGCTTTTGGCCTTGAAAGAACCGCGACTAATCGCAGCAAGAGAAGCGAAGTTACGGAGCGGAGCGCGGTAGCATCAGAGGTGATCTTTACCCAAAATATTCTCGTATCGAGTGGAGACATTAACAGCTATGACAGGCCGACAAGAAGCTTTTGGACGAATACCAGACGCAAGTGCGCGACCTGCGGGAAAAGCTCGACGTTATGGAGGATGCCATGAAGAAGAAAGACGATGAGTTGAACAGTGTTCTGGACGGAGAGAGATCACGGTCGACAGCTGCGAACATGGAGAAGAAGGAATTCGGCGACCTCCGTCTCGGTCTGGAGAACAAGCTCGCTGAGGCTCAAGACCTCAACGCGTCGCTGAAGCAGGAGCTGGATCGCATGCGGGACGATCACGCCAACGAATCTCGGCAAATGAGAGACCAGATGGACGAATTGCGACAGTCTAATGCGGCTGCGGGTCCAATGAATTCCGGCAATGCAGACAGAGAGCTGCAGATGGAAAACCAGCAACTTCGTCAGTCTCTACAGGAGCAGCAACAAGTCACAGAGGAGGCTCGACGCGAGGCTCGGGAGTTCCTCCGCGAGATGAAGATGCTTTCACAACAGAGTGGCTCAACCTGGCAAAAGCAGGAGGAGCTGGAGAAGACAATCGAGCAGCTGGAGGCAGAGGTTCGCGACTGGCGCAATCGCTACGCAAGAACAAAGACACAACTTCGCAGCATGCGAGCTTCCTCACTTGGACTAACCGTCGAGCAAGATGCCTCGAAGTACATCAGAGAGAAGGGATTTGCACAGGACGGAGGTGCTGTCAAGGACGTCCACGTCACCAAATTCCAGATCGCTATCGACGAACTCCTCCAACGCGCTCGCGCGGAGAACCCAGACACCGTGATTGACGCTATGAAGCAAGTCGTTGTCAGCGTTCGCCGAATTACTAAGGATATCGACGAGGGTGTTGCTACCAACGAGATGCTCATGCAGCAGCGCTCTAAGCTCAAGGGCAAGATCTCCTCGACGGCCAACCACCTCATCACGACATCCAAGAACTTCGCTTCATCGGCAGGCATTACGCCAGTTTCTCTGCTCGATGCTGCGGCTACTCACCTGGTTGCCGCTATCGTCGATCTCCTCCGAGTTGCAAAGATTCGATCCACGCCTGCCGGCGAGCTCGAGGATGAGGATGATGGCACAATTACCCCCGTTGACTCGACCGGTTTCTTTTCCCCTAGAACTGCCTCGAGACAGGAGTCGATAATCCAGGAGTCGTTGCCGCCACTGGGACAGGCACCCGCACCATTCCGTGGACTTGGCGGTGGTCGAACCAGCATGGACTCCTCCGCCTACAGCCCCATCAACTCCCCTCGCCAGTCCGCAGACGCATACAACCAAGCCCGCGGAGCTAACGGTATGAACGGGATGGGTGGTTTTGCAGGCATGAACCAGAATGGGCCAACCAATGGCTACGGTAACGGCATGCGACAACAAGATACCCGAGCCGAAGATCTCAAGATCTACCTCGAAGACCAGACCGCAATTTTGGTCCAGAATATCCAGAATCTGGTCGGCTCCATCCGAAGCGATGCCGCCATCAATCAGATCACATCCGAGATCAACGGCATCGTAGAGGTTGTCGACAAAGTCATTGGTGAAACCGAGGCATCTGGCAACGGTGGCATGATTCCCCGACTTGTCGCTTGCCGGGACCGACTTCTGGAAGCCAGCGATCGCGGCATGGACATTGACCGCGGCCAAGACGTTGGTGCCACCGGGCGCAACGATCGCGAATGGAGGATGTGGACGCAGACCTTGCCGCCCATTGCTTTCGAAATCGCTCGGGAAACCAAGGAGTTGGTCCAGCGCGTCGACCGGATGGCCAGCAATGGAGACGACGACTTCTCCTAAACTCTCTTCGAGGTCAAGAGAAGTTTCGAATCCAGCCTTCTTTTCTAAAGATGCGCATAATCTTGAAATGACAACACAACACAACCCTCTCTTTCACTGAGTGGAAGAGAGATTCGATACCCCTGCTGTCCTTGGGGCGGCTTTGCTTGCGTTTATGTGTTCTGCGAGTTTTGGGACGGTGACGAAGATGAAAGCACAAAAGGTTTACCTTTCCTTCTTTGTTTCGTGTTTGTCACTTACGTGTATACGCCCTCCCACCTGCGGGGGTTTATTGGACCTAAGCATGGTTTTTTTTATAGAATGGGGCTCGCTCGGTCTCTACAGCCTTGAGGCGTTTAATTTTGCCCGAGGAGTTTGATACGCGAAGCATGAGAGAATGGGGTTCGAGGGAAGACTTGACCGAAGGGGGGTTTTCTTGTTGTTTAACGTCACGCGAATGAAGTCGAAAGGATTCGGGAACAAGAGGTCCTTGAGAGACCTGCGAGGTTGCCCCCCCCCCCCCCCCCCCCCTCCCCCAACACACCCCTGGCTATGTATTTCAGGATAGGAGGCGCCGGAAGGGGAGGTTGCTGAGGACGTTTTCGATGAACAAAGATAGGATAGCCCTTTTTAAAGTACAGCTAATGCTAAAAGTGCCTTCCTCGTGAGGCATGAAACTCAATCTCATAAGACATATGCGGTTCATAAGTGAAGGACGTAGATACAGGTGAAAGGTGCGGCTTTTTGAGCGGACCCCGAGGTGGTTTTCTCGAGTACGAGCAAAAGCTAATAGCTAGGTCTGGCACATGACAGTCCCTGTGACGCCGCCATCGTCAAGCTGAGCAACGGGCTTCTCCACGTGGCGGCGGCGGCGCGGACGAACCGGTGCGGGGAGGGCGAGGAGCCACTTTTCTCACGGAGGTTGGCGGGGAAGTTGAAGAGATCACTCCCTCTTCTAGTGATTAGCGATTACCTATGGGTTTTGTTCTCCGAATATGCCGATGCCTATATCGTAGTTGTTGTCGGTACCAATGGAAACTTGTTGTCATGGAAGGGGTCGTTGTCCGCGGAGGATCGGCCTCAACTTTGTGGTTGGTTTGTTGGTTTTGGCTGGAGCCGCCGCCGGGTTCATCCCTTGAAAGTGGGGGAAAGGGGGAAGTAAGGAGAGAGGTGCCGAGGGGGAAGCTACCTTGCTTGCCTAGGCAGGTTGAACGACCGTTCTCTTTTCTTCCCCCAGAGCGGACAACTTGCGAAAGTTGCGCGAGCGAGTGCCAGCAAGGATGATGTTGAATCCCCCCGGTCGTCATGTGCTTTTACCCTTTTTCCTCTTGCCGTCGTTCCGATGTCGTAAGATCACCAACCATGGCGTTCGATTAGTATAGTAGTAGGGCTGACGCCTCGCCAAGGTTGGATGTAAGACCTGGCCGGGGGGTTGGGTTTGCTCTGGGCTGGCTTGGCTCGTCTTTATCGGGGAGGCACCCCAGCTTTCTTTTGTCGCTGGTTGTTTCCTGTTCGCGTTGCGTGCGTGCTGCTTCTGCTGCTGCAAGTGTCAGCTTACTTACCGTTCACTCGTTCTGTTCATTAGGGAATCCGATCCTGATCCCATGGGCCAATGAGCCTCATTTCCCCCTCTTTCCCAGGTGGCTTACGGCGGTTCCTGGAGCCATAGGAAAGCTGGTAACTGTGAATTCCGGCCCAGCCACGACGTTTCTTGTCGTGCAGCCGGTTTGGGCAATGAGTGAGACAGAGTGGTGGACCACTAGTATATGTTGTACAGTCGCGCCCATTCTCTTACCTCGACTGTTCAAGGTTATTCATCGTTTTCCGCAAGCCATTTGGGATCCTGTGATGAATATTCACATCATTTCGCGATTGTGATTACTGAGCCGTCTAGGACCCGACAACCACGACCCCTCCCCCGCCTAAAATCATCTATCCTTGCGGACCCTGGGTCTCATCAATTCCCATATCATCCAAGAACCTGCGGATGGCCAACTGGACGTCGCTTCATTCACCTCAGTAATGGAAACTGCCCGCGCGGTCCCAGGTGAGAATACTACCGCTGCGATGGATGTGTCGAACAACAAGTTGCATCTCCTCGGCTTGCCCCTTGAGATCCGCCTCCAGATATACGGTTGGGTTCACGCGGCACATCCAGTAGAGCACGCGCAGCTCGCACCGTGGTATCCAAATCCAATACATAGTGCGTACTTCCTGAGGCCCGTCAACCCCCCCGGAATGGAAACTGAGGATCGTACCGTATCAGGGAAAATCGTGAAAGTCGTCGGCGAACCTTTGGGAGAAGAAGACGGCTCCAGCAAGGACCAGAAGAATGAAGAGTCGTCGCTGCTGTCGCCAAACCGTCCAATCTCCGGTATCCCCTCGGCGCTCCTGGAGACCAATAGGCAAATCTACAACGAGTGCCGTTCCTTCCCCTTCCACACCAACGAGTTCGTCTTTGTCAACTGGTTCTCCTCTGGACTCTGGGCGGCGCGGGCGTTTACGCGCGGTCTGCGGCCATGGCAACGCGATGAGATGCGGTGGGCGCGACTTGAGATGCTCGGCCGGGACTTCACGGGCCCGGCCCTCAAGGAGTGGACTGAATTGTGTGAGCACTGGGCGTCCGGGCTTCGGGGGCTGAGGCTCAAGATCTTGATCGGAGGTGGGATATTCGAACCGACCGCCCCGTTTTCTGCGCTGAAAAACAATGCAGAGGCCCAGGCCATGGGACTGGGCTCCAAGACGACAAGGCCCGATCCCAGGCCGGAATGGATCGAGGAAGGGCTGCGGAAGCTGAAGGCGTTGAGGAGGCTGGAGGTCGAGCTTTCGGTGCTGGATTGGGGTGATGGAGAGAAGCTCGAGTGGTGTTCTGAGCTCGGAAGAATGTTGAACGTCGGCAGGGAAGAGAAGAGCCTCGTCGTTGTGAGGTGTGTCGAGAAGCTTAAGGAGGATAGTGGGGCAAAAAGGCAAGTCTTTGATGGCATTGTGCAGTGCTGAGCTCCCTGCTGAGTATTTCTCAAGCATAGACTGGGATATATGGCTTTCAGGGTGATGGCTGTTGGCTATTGACCCTCAAAGTCCAAACGACGAACGACGAAGACAAAAGACTAGAGGTGTGTTTGATTATCGGTTGTCATGCTGAGAATGAAGTCGAATTGGGGTACTGTTATTGGCTCAGGGGCCAGGCGTTTGGAGGACACAACTAGGAGTATGGTACTAGGCGTATTGCAATATGAGCAGTGGTTACTAGGATTGATATTTCCCTTGTCATGAATACCTCAGGCTCTTCTCTGAAAAGGTGAATGAGGCAAGACCTAATATTCACTGTTGAAGTCCAGAGGTAGGTGCTATTGCTCGCTCCTGCCTTCCTTCCATCTGAAGGTGACCCATCCGGCCATGCCTTCTTCTTTCTTCGCCTACTTCAAAAAAGTTCTGGCTGCTTTTCTTTCCTTCTTTTTCCCTCTCCAAGCAGTCCATTGTATGCTCCCAAGAGATTTCTTTTTCTCCCTTCACCTCTCGGCCTCCTCCTTTCTTGGACCCTCGGCTTTATCCTCCACGCATCAATTTCTTGTCCGCATTGCCTACTTGCAACCCTACAAAATATTATCACCTCACAGGATAACGAACGTTCCTATTTGCGACATTCAGGCGCTCCTTGGGCCGATTGACCTTGAGAAATTTTCTTGTCAGTCACTTATTCCCTAGTACGACCGACTTTGATGCGTCTAGGTATGAAAAGTCGCTAACGAGGTCACAGATTCTTGTGTTCTCAACAAAGAGATCATATACATCCCCCGCAAAAACGGCACAAGAGCTTCTCAATCAAGCAATCACTCACAAATCGTCTGGTACGTTGAGACAAGTAATTCAGTTACTTTGAAGCAATACTTACCATTTCCAGTGAAAATGAGCGGTCACATTATGCGCGGTCGCTTCCACCCTCACTGCCCTGAGTTTAGCATTGACTACTCCACCGCATGGGCTTCCGAGGTTCGCATTCCGGTTCTCATCCTCATTACCCTCTTCTTGATGTCGATGAACCCTACCATCGCCGATATCATCAAGGGAACTGTCTGGAGGGTTGTCAAGCCCATTGCCCTCCTCATTGGCTATGCCTCTGTCGCTGTCATCCGCATTCTTATCTTCATCTTTATCGATGGGCCTAAGATGATCACCATCCTTCTCACCCCCGACAGACGCAACAGCGTCGACTTCCTTGGCATCGATGTTGAGAACAATACCAAGCTCAACGCCATCTGGAGCCGCCTCCACGCTGAAGAGGAGTGGGTTCCTGGCGGCGTCTTTGACAAGAAGTACAAGCCGTTCCTGCCAGCTCGCAACATGAAAATGGCTGGTCCTCGTCAAAAGAAGGTCATGACCCGCGACCGTGGCCTCTCTTGCTAAATCGACTTTACTCGGGGGCGCATTGCCAAGTCCATGAACAAAGACATTGTGGGGGAACTGGATCTTCTTGAGGAACCGGATCTACCACTTGGAGACTTTGATCGACTTCATTCGACCTACCAGGAATCGACTTTTCAGCAGCGAAGCATTAGACGGGGCTACAAGATACGAGTGAATGGTCTTACGGCCGTGGGGGCTTCTATTGGGGAGTTTTGGAATTTGGTCTGACCTCGCTGTTCATAGGCGGGCCACTAGACCTATCATCTTGGGTGTCTACTAGTCGCATCGAATACTCGACCACGAATATCTGCAGCGGACTCGGTGGTCTTGCCCTGGATGATATGGATAGATTGGATTTCATAATCGTCTTGGAGCCAGGAAAAGTTATAGAGAGAGAGGTACCCACGGCCGTACGAGCTGACGAAGCTCTCGACCGTTAGACGTCGGTCAAGAAAGGGCTCCTAATGACTCAGATGAAATAGAACGATAATGAGACCCTGATACATTGCGAACTGATTCCCCTTGTCACGGCTTAGTGCGGTTTAGTGTTCACTCAGACTGGTGGGAGAGATGTGACGTTGATATGGACATCCACTCAGCGCGGAAAGGTCCCGCCAGTGTACAGGGAACTGTCGCGAAACATTGGCCAATCGGAGCATGGCGGCGAGCGTCTGTCTTTAAGCTGTTCATCTACTCTCTGACTCTTTGACAATTTGTCTTGAACAGAGAACGCTATTCTATCACTCGCAGAATCTCAACATCCGTCTATGCCTTCTTGAAGTCAGCCGTATTAGAGTCCAAAGCCATGCGTACTCGTCGGTCATTGAGCACATAGGAATTTACTGAATAATTGAGGATCGAGACGACTTGTGCTTCAACTCGTCCGAGTGGAAAACCACCCATCTGCGGTTGTGACGTAACGCACAGCTGAACTGTTTCCCCTTCCGTGAATATAACCCCGAGATTTCTGAGTCAACTTCAACCTAAACCGAACCCGAGGGGGATATTGCACTTTTGGAGTAGGTAGCTGTTCGCAACTAGAAACCCCCGTCAAGCAGGGTCGCTAACCATGTGACTTCGCGCCAGTCTCGCTCCAGAGCCCCTCCACTTGTCCCCCGACAATCCGCTTCAGCCCGCCCCGCACTCCCCCCCTCTATGCTCTCCCACACCCCGGCCGTGACTCACGTCCCCCCCTTCCCGGTCACCGCTGCAAGTTGCAGCAATTAGTCTCATTCCCGTATTTTCGATATCGCGCTGAGACGCGTGTTGAGTTGTATTTTCTTCCCCCGACGTCGGGTTGTTGGTGTACAACGGCTTCTGGATGGTAGTCGGTTTGTATGCGTACCTACTTAGCTGCGTGTGTGTGTCATGTGGTTTTTGGGGGAGTCACTAGGTACATAAAGACGGGAGGATTCCCGTTTCGGATGAACTTCGTTACTGACTTCTCACAACATCAGAACCACATCCTGAGGAACTGATATTCTTTCACACCACTTACACGTGTGATTGGATTTCTCGTTTTCCCTTTCTTTTCTCATTCGTTCTTTGACAGGAAGTCGACCTATCAGACGTCGTCGGTTCCTGGAAAAGGATTGCGCATTTCTAGTTCAAAATCCCCAACCGGCATTTGA